TTTTTGGATTTGTCCATATGGAAGTGACCCAAACTTACTGCAACCCTCCAGGGGTCCTGGACCAGACCCCTGGTTCAAACCCTTCAAAACCTGTAAAAAATACCAAATGCATAAACCTTTATAAAAATACAAAAATTATAACACTCCTAGTAAAACATAAATGCCCAACCCACTAAAATAAGTAAAACTCTACCCTAATACCAAAATTGACCTCCTGTTAAACCACCTTTATAATGCCTCGTGGGATTTTAGAATGATGAAATGCCCAATTGAATGGAGTAAAATTTTGAATAGTTAAGAGCTTCCAATTGGATCCACGACCCTTCTCTGGTTGTTTTTCAGAATGACTGAGAGGAAAGACAAGACACTCATATTAAACAGGAAAATACAACACACTCAATTTAAACAGGACTATCTTGCAGGTCTTCAGTTCTTGAGCTTGCGGTGGGAGGCCTTGTTCGTCCACAAGGGTCCTTTTGATGCTCGGCGGGATTCGGCCCGTGGAGATATCTTCATGTAAAGTCATCAGAACCTTTATCAGTCTGATCAGACATTCTAAATGACGTGTGTGTGCATTGGGACAAAACTAAAATCAGTTTGACGCGTCTTCTGTTCTTCACGGTCAGGGCTGGTAATCTTCCGTCCTTACCCGTTCCACCTGACTGACCGACTTAGGCAGAGCGGAGACTTTTTCTCCAATGTTTGCTACTGCCTTTTTCCTACCAGAACAAAGGGGCAAAGAGTGAGCTCCCACGAAGGTCCTGTCACCTCCTCCAGGTGTAGCGGGGAGCTGTCCTCAGATCACCCTCCATCTGGTCCAGCAATCGATTCCGCTCCTCTCCAGGGGCGCACTGGTTGTGGTCCTAACAGGTGTCACTCTCATTCTGGAGACCGATGGCGTGTGCTGTTCTCTTCACCACCTGGTGGCGTCCTGTCCCTCTTTTCAGCAGGACCCAGTCCGGTGTGATGGTCCGTAGTCAATCTCCTCGGTCAGAGATTCTCCCTCCTGATGAGAAAAGCTGGACACCAAAGCTTGCAAATTGTTAAACACCCTACATGGCCTTTTGATTATTTTATCTGTGGGATCCATGACCCATTTGTGGGCCTGGTCAAAAACCTACTGTTGTTACTTCCTAGTGAGTAAAACCTGTTTCTTAAGTATGGGACACCCTGATTGTTATTATTGCTACAGCTAGTGTGTACTCTTACACTGTAATGTTATAATAAAACAGAACTTGTAAAACTGAAATAAAATGCTATTCTTACATCCATCTATACACTTGAAACTGAAATGAGGTACATACTGGACTTCTCCAGGGATACCTGTGTACTCTCGTCCCGTCTTTCACCCTTCCAAGCCTTTGCAGTCAACAGGTCTACCTACAATTAGCAAAGTTAAACATACACAACAACAATGTACAACAACACCCTACAATAAGCAATCCCCCACGCCGGCCTCCCTCCTCCTGGAGCCTGTGGAAGTAACTTCATTAAATCGCTTGCGCCAATAGCATCAATCAAAATACAATATAACTTTAAAAATTTAAACAACTGACATATACACTGTGGAAACAAGAGCAAGGAAGAAAAAGAGAGAGAAAGAGAAAAATGTGGTTAAAATACTTTGTTCATGAAACCTTTTATTAACCCAATTAAACTATTTAAGTCCAGTCCAGTCAGTCAAGTCAGTGGTGTTTAAAAATACCAAATCACCCCATTTCCCCTTAACCTTTGCTCAAATTTCCTTCAGGCTAGGGGCGTCCCCCTTTTCTGGAATCTGTACAAATTACAACAAAGAAAGAGAAAGATACTTTTGTTAAACCGATATATACAAGTGCATTTTCAAATGTCAATGTGATTATCCTAAATGATCCTTTAAACGCTTCAGACTCACTACTGGCTTTTTGCTGTTCATTTAAATATAAAACCCTAAGAAGTTATTTTTGTATATTTTGTAATGATCTAATCATTGTATGAACTGTTTCCTGCTAAGAGCAGCCTTCACCTTCCCCCTCTTTGAAACAGTTTTCTGTTTCAAATCTGAAGTATTACCGGTCGTAATATACTAACCCCCCAGTCTGAGTATTAGTTTCAGAAATATAAAATATGGTGTAGTTTTAAATCTTCCCCTACTGTTATTCAATCCATGGTATGCAAAAAATATCCAAGTATGACCCAAGCTCTCATATAATTTTCCAAAGAGTTAACCCTTAAATAAATTTCATCCCTTGTATCAAACTAGACCCACCAAATGAGCTCATTCAAGGCAAAGACAATCATTTATTATTATTTTAGAAAACATTAGTGAACTCCCTCCGAATCAGGTCTTAGGTACAGGTTTTCTCTGGAACGAGACTTCGTGACCTGTATAAATGAAAAGTTAAAAAGTCAATATTATGTTCAGGGGTGGGGAGCATTATTCCTCGTCCGATTAGGTTTAGAGGTAATAAAACAACTTTCATCTCAGAGCAATTGGAAAAGGACGAATCATCTAGCACCCCCACATCAGTACTTCTGTGTCATGTTGTGTCACCTGTCTTAAAATGAGTCTATGTGAGTGATTATTATCAAAGCCAACTGCAGTTTTGATCATGACCCCAAAGCGCTCGGATGACCATCACCAACCAAATGTGGGGTTGACCTCTCCGTCAGGCTGCAGCTGTTGTTAGTGACCTTGGACAGATTGACCACCAGCTTTTCTTTCAGCTTTTCAGTCTTCAGTTTGTCTCCCTTTGTCTAGAGACCAGTTCAGCTTTGTGCAGCAGTTCATATCTCAGCATACAGCAAGGCTTGACTGGATGTACCCGCTGTTGACAACTCCAGGACCCCCTCTGGACAGTTAATTCAGTTCGTTGTTGGACTGATAGATCTTTGCTTTGAAAAGTCATATTGTTTGGCTGACAATTTCTTTGTTGTTGTGTCAGTTGTGCTCGACTGACAGCTTCTCTGAACCGTCCCATTGGTCAGTTTTCCCAGACCCAACTTCAGCGTCCCCCTGACACATCTGGTATCCGATCTGGCACCCAGCACTAGAGGGTCATGATCAACCTCAGATGGATGCTGTATGTATCTGAAGACTACCTGTCTGTTTTGTGGGCCTAGCCAGACTCACCATCCCCCATCCACAGCTCTGTTCTCTCAGGCTGCTGAGAAGGAAAAATAAACAATCCAATTATTAAAAGTCTGATTCAACATTCATCTGTTATCAACATTAATCATCTGTTAGCAAGTTCTATCCTGAGACCACAGTGTTTACCTTCAACAGAGTCATTCCGGTGTCCTGGATTGTACAATAGATGTTTTAACCGCTCAATTACATAAGAGTGAAAACTTTCATTAAACACTGCACAATCCAATTCTTGACGCCTACTGCAAAAAATATTCCATCCAAAATACTGTCTTCCATCTTTCAGAATATGTATTTTGACTATGTCTACACTTCAAGACATCACAGAGACCATTAGCACTGCACAAAACGTCTACATGCACCTTTGTTCAAAAGCACAACTTCTCAAACTCACCATGTACTCAACCCTGTTCTCCTCATGCACTCATAGGACCTGTGTGACGTCTCAAGATGTTTAGAGTCAGTTCATTTACCCACTAGAATAGTTGTTTTCTCATAAATAACCCACTTCAGGTAGCTCTTAGAAGGGAACAGCTCCTAAACTCTAGACAATATTTTCAATATGTGATAAAGTCATTTAGACTGATTGATTTAAGCCTTTCAATTTGTGTTCAGTTAAGAGTTTCTTTGACCAGAATCCATTTTATTCATTTTACAAGTGTCAAGGATTTTGTTTATTACTTATTTTACATTCTGTCGTTATATAGTAAAATTTATTAACTGATTTTATTGTCAATCCCAAGAAGAAATTTCAGCTAATTTGTTTACAATTTGTCATCCAGAAATGTTTAAACTTTATTTGACCTGTTTATGATGTTTATTTGTTTTATTTGTCCTGCTTCCTTCGGCTTTTCCCTTTTCAGACGTCACCACAACGAATCGTCCTCCTTATTTCCTCTAAGGCCTTAGTCAGACCTACTCCTCACTTCCTCCAAGACCACCCCTACTCCATTTCTCTTTCTATCCACACCCTGATAAAACAGGTTGAACCCAGCACCAATGCTGTGAGCCATGCTGCTCTTCTACTTGGTCTCTTTGACACCTCAACCATTCACCTTCCTTCTCTGCATCATAGCAGCAGCTCTCTGTCAGCAGCTCTCCACCTTTGCCTGTCTGTTCAGTACGTTTGTTATCAATTTACCTCTGTCCCTCGCCCGCTTAGTGAGTGACTGTCTGCCATCTTCCTCTTCCCACACAGCTAGCTGTTCCAACAATACCTCCAGTTGACCCCCTCTGACTCCATCTCTCGGTTAATTACCGCTCCTACACGGGATGTCCCCCCTGGCCTTGAGTTTCAAACCACTGTTGCAGATCAACTGTTCCAGAGGCCACTGCCTGCTCCTTTACCTCTGACACTGATTGAACACACAAATGTTTTTCAACCTCGCTCTCTTATCCCTGTTTATGTCTGGCCTCCGACAGCTGTGGTCTAATCAGCTGCTGATTATTCTTCCGGTTTTAAACGATGTATTACGTTTCTCCCCCTACGTTCAGTGACTGAAAATGGCGTTCAGATCTCCTCCTGCCACAATCACCCCTGTTGATGTACCACCTCCAAGCACCTCCTCCCTCTTTTAAGCTGTATTCAGCTTACTCCAACGTTTTTTACTTCTACTGACGTATTCCGGTTAATTTCTGAACAGTGAGCTCCTTTCAACTAATGTTTGAAAGATTCAGATACACCGGCGTACATTTCAGATACCATATAGCTGTTTCATGCCAATATCAGCTAATTCCACCTTTATTTTTAAATTAATCCAACTTTTACAGCCTAATTCAGGAACACCAAGCTCTACCCACTTACTTTTGGTACTTTAAGATTATTTCTGCTTGATTTAGCTATTGGTCTGCTGGTCTTTTATACTTATTTCATATTCAAAATTGTTCCATCTCGTTTAGATTGTATCACATTCATGAGTTCCACACCTGATGACCGTTCACACACTCAGGCATTCAATTCTCTTTCATTCACATGCACAGCAGGCCCCGTTGTGATAAAACAATACACAAGTCTGTTGTATGAAAAAAAACAACCCAGAGTCCAGACTTGTCCTTGCCTTATACAACAGCGCCCCCTTTCGGTCAGGATATGGATGCTCCAGTCAGTCCGAGTCACCTGACACTCACAGAGAACAGCGCACGCACTTTCACCCAGAAGGACAGAGCAAACCAAAAGAAAAGGCTTCACCTTCCCCCACACCAGTCTAAACGGAGAGAAAACAAATCTTCTCTGTCAGCCAGACACACAAAGCCCCAAGCAACCCCCACCCTCACACACACAGACAGAAACAGTCGCAGCACGGCACAAAACTTAATCCTGACCCTAAAACGGTCCCAGACCGCCCGAAATTTGGTACTAAGTCCCAGACTGTAACGTTCACTTCGACTAAATTAACAATTGCTCTTATATTTCGCGGACAGTCAACACCCGCGGTGGGAAGAAGCACCCCACAGCCCCCGAGTTCCCAACTCGTTAGGCTCACCTTGTCAGGTGAGCCCTTTAGCGGCCAACCACGTTGAAAACAAAGTGAACGTGTATACTATATATTTTTCAACGGCAGACGCCACGGTCTTCCTCCGCCACGATTCTAAATCGTGTTCTATCTAAACAAAGTCGTGCACAGGACACACACACTCTTACACGCACGCGGGCAAGCACGCACGCGTCTTGCAACCCCCCAAGTCTGAATACAAGTAATCTGTACGTCAGAAGTTCCACTAATCACTTTAAATTAGCTTACCAAACATCTGATTGAGGAGATGGTACGAACACCCACAGAGGAAGATTTCAATTTGGTTTACGGTCGAAATGCGGAGTAATTCGAGCCTTTCGGCCAACAGAGGTAACTTCCGCTTACCTTTTATCTTTGCTGGGCCCAGAAGTTCACAATGTGGGAGTTCAGCACCCTCTCGACCCAATTCGTGGTTCCGTCAGCTGGACGTTCGGGGTCACCATCTGATGAGGCTGAGCGCCACTAATGGTGTTCAAAACAGCTGATACGGCCACCTTAGTTCAAAAGATTTATTGGACAACAAATTACAAGTATTCAGAGTTCATAAAATCAAATTACATGTATGCATACAGGAGCATTTACCAAACACCGACCTGATCCGATGAGTCCCCAGCAAATGCTAATGCTGCA